ACGACACTGTCGTCTCGCCATACCATCACTCCCCTCGCCTCTTCCGTGCCGCGTTCTGCCCGCCTCTCTCGTGCCTCTCTCGTGCCTCTCTCGTGCCTCTCTCGTGCCTCTCTCGTGCCTATCTCGTGCCTCTCTCGTGCCTCTCTCGTGCCTCTCTCGTGCCTCTCTCGTGCCTCTCTCGTGCCTATCTCATGCCTCTCTCGTGCATCTCTCGTGCCTCTCGTGCCTCTCTCGTGCCTCTCTCGTGCCTATCTCGTGCCTCTCTCGTACCTCTGCCGTGCCTCTCCCGTGCCGCTCTTCTGTTCCACATCTCCCCGAGCAGGAGTCAGAGGATTCGCCATTCTTCTTTCACGACATAGTGGCATGTGCTGCGCTCCTGCGCCATCCGCTGCTCCTTTAACCACCCCCGTGCCCCCTCTGCCATGCCCTTGCCATTCCCCTGCAAATGAGCAGAAGGAGTCGGAGGATTCGCCGTCCTTCTTCCTGGACATGTGGCGTGTGCTGCGTGCCTACGCCATCCGCTGCTCGTCGCGCTACTGGAAGCCCGGCCGCCTGCAGAGGCACCTGCTCGCACTGGGGGCGGAGGACGAGCCCCAGGTCAGTCAGCTTGCGCTGAGTTGCACTGAAGCGCGGACAGCAAGTGGATTTGAACACCACGCTCCTCTCAGGGACGCGGGAGCATGTGGAAGGGTCTCATCGCATGCTGCAATGCACCTGTTTCATCATCGCTGCATGCATCACGTATTTTGCACATCTTTTGTGCACAATCCGCCTGCTCGTTCTACACACCCCCCACCACCACCACAGGGTTCGCTGTTTGCGCACTCCATGCGGGTCATCCGCGGCAGCTTCAACGACCTGGACAGCTGCTTCAGCTTCAACTGCGCCCGCCCCCAGCCGGACCTCAGCCGCCCGCGCCGAGTCTTCCGAGTCAACGCCCGCAGCTACAACGCCGATAACTTGTCGGCAGTCCTCGAACGCCGCCTGCAGCGCTTTCCCGCCGCTGCTGCTTCGCGCCGATTTTCACTGCTCAAATCAGACCAGGTGGGATTCAGGGAATAGGGGGGGGGCTGGTTGAGTGACTGACCGTGGAATGGGTGTTTCACTCTCTTTTTTCGGATGTTCAATGTTTGCTAGAATTTGACGACACTGACTTTTCCCCTTCTCTTTTTGGATGGCAGGAAAGTATGGATCAAGAAGTGCCAGGCATCAACCCTGATAAAATTACAGATCTCATCTTGGCTCAGTTTGGAGAAGACATGGGCGTGACGGTGCGAGGTCCGGGGCAGGGCCATGATGAGGATGAAGAACAGCTCGAGATGATGAAGGTGGGTGTCTATTTTCGTATGTTGTTCCTTGCATGATCCTTAAGAGGCACATTAACTGTTTTTTTATGCTGCATGTCTCCCTTGTTTCTCCAGGGAAAGGTTTCTGAAATCGAACGGCGCACCGCTGTCTCGTCTGAAGGCCTGGCAGAGCTTCAAGGGGAATTGCAATTGCAGCGCCGTGCACTTCGCCAATTGCAACGTCATCTCGCCAATCGAGACCTTCGGATTGAAGAGCAGAGAGCAGAGTTACAGAGGCAGCTGACACAACAACATCAGCTTCTACTTAGGCTGTTAAACGCCAGAAGTTAGGATAACAATGTGTCCCTTCTGTTGCGATCCGAGGATCTCCTTAGCGAATGGCTCGTGTTTTGTGTAGTGCAACTCTTCCCCGTTCAAACTAACGCTGATTGGACGGCGGCCGACCTTCTGCTGTCGCCAGCCGGTTTCAAGTGGAAGCCCTTTCAGTCGCACGATGTCCTTGTTGCGACTCCTGCTCACCTGAACGGCCCCATGCGGTTCGCAACCCTGGTCCCTCCTTCTCTTGTTGCACAGCTGGTGGAAACTCATGTTTCGGCCGTCCTTCGCTGTTATTTTCGCGAAGATTTCGCCTGGCACAGGCTTGATCATTCGTCGCGAAAATTGTTGATGATGGCTACGGAACTCGTCAGCACATTAGCTTCTTGGCCGCCACCACCTGCGCTGGCGTTGCACCAACCTGGCGAATCTTGCGACCACGCGCGAGCGCAGGGAAAAACGCAAGGGGCGACGAGATGCTTTGCGCGGGAAATGCGCGGAACTGCATGGCGGGGGCGGAGGGTGGCTGGGCATGTGGATGGGCCCAATGCATTGCGGAACTCGCGGGAGTGCAAAGCGCAGCAGACACCTGCTTCCATGACGAGAGGCAGGGGAGGGGAGGCTGATCCAGCCGTGGCGTAGCTGCACAGTGCACGACCCAATCCCATCCCATGCCACAAGCGTTTCTGGACGGCTATAGCAGCCAAAACCATCACCTCACCACCGGCTCTAGGACTAGATTAGACTGCATGGCGGAGCAGAATATTTCCTGTCGTTAGATTTCCGTTTCCTTGTCCACGTAGGACCGTTAAATAGGTGTGCTGGCAGTGGTTATGACCGTACTAGCCGTAGATAGATAGACCTATTCCCGTTGGCGTAACCACTCTCGTGTTTCATCCGTTTAGCATCATCACCCGTACAACCCTTCTTGGCGTAAGGCGCATTCTTCTCCTCCACGTGACACCCTAAAGCTCTCACCCGACCATCCCTGTCGTTCCCCAGCCTCGCATCCGTTGGAAAAAGCAGGCAGTTGTCCTTAGAACCATGGCTCGTTTCCTCCTCGCAATCCTCTGGTGCCTCGCCCTCGCCACGTCCTCCCTCGCGCGCACCTACGACCGTTCGCACTTGCACCGCATGCTCACCCGCCGTGGCCTGCGCCGCGGCATGCGTGACCAGGCCCATGGCTCGCGGCGCCGCCTCTTCTCCTCCGCGTTCGGCGACGAGGCGTCCGCCACCGACCCCAACGGCGACTACATGGGCTTCGAAGACTTCGTCACCGGGCAGCCCGCTCCCAGCCCCAAGCAGCTCAAGGCCCTGATGGAGATTAAAGCCGCCTGGAAGGACGACTTTTACGGGGCTTCTATGTGGAAGGAGGGCAGTACGGACACGTCAGCGTGGCAGGGCCTGGAAATCGACGACAACGGGAACGTGGTCAGCATGGTGTTGATCAGCGGCGGCGTCGAGGGACCGCTGCCCACGGCGCTCGCAGCGTTGACGGCGCTTACGTCGATCGACCTCCGTCAGAATAAGCTGACCGGCGAGATCCCTCGCGGTGTGTTCTCCAGGATGCCGTACCTGAAGGAGTTTTATCTGGCCGATAACCAGCTCTCTGGATTCGTTCCGTGGAGAGATTTTCTCGGGCGGGCGGATTCCCCGCTGCAGATGTTCGAAATAGACGGGAATTCCTTCACCGGTGCCTTTCCCAACCCCCTGTTCCAAAACGCCCCGAATCTCCAAACCTTCACGGCCAGCGGCAACAAGTTCGCCGGGCATATGCCGACTGGCTTGGCGGGTTGCCCGCTTGTTTCGGTCATCGATTTGTCGAACAACCAGCTGACCGGCGGAATTCCGTACGCGTTTGGCGGAATGGACGGATTGGAAGTGTTTGACGTCAGCAACAACCTGCTGACCGGATACCTGCCAGCGTCTTTCGGACTCTCCTCCGCGCTCGTCAATCTCGATGTCAGCAACAACAAGCTCAGCGGTTACCTCCCCGCTTCGCTAGCCAATCTCGGCCAATCGCTGCGGGCCCTCAAACTGGCGAACAACTACTTCACTGGCTCTTTGCCCAAGTTCCCCAACCTCGGTAGGGGTTGCGGGCCCAAGAAATCAGACGCGGTTACATGTTACAGGTTCACTACTATCATCGATTTGAGCAACAACTACTTCTTCGGCAAGGATGAGATGACCATTCAGGCAGCCAAGTGGACAAGCACTCCGATAACTGACGTAATCTGCCCAGGGACAAACTACCCGGAACAGATTCTGGTCCAAGGGAACTGCTTGGTGTCCAGTGCGAATTGCACTGCCAAGGCACAGAGGTCTGCTGGACAATGTACTGCATTCTGCGGGACGGGAGCGGCTACATGGCAATGCGGGGGGCATGGTATGTGTGTTTTGGACAGGGCAAGCGGTGAGGTGGGGTGCAGGTGCAAGGAGGGATTTGTGGCCTCGCCTGATGGTATGACTTGCACCAAGCCAGCTGTGGTTTGAGTTATGTTACTATGGCCTGCAGCAGTTACGGAAGAGGTGGGATGTAGGATATGGTGTCTTACCAGCTGGTTTGCATGCAATCGTGGAGAGTTGAGGGGTTGCGTTGAATGCTTTTGTGCATGTGGGTGTATCGCTGCTTGTGGGCTGCTGATCTCTTTAATGGTGGTTAACAATATTCGTCATGCTAAGTTAATCATGTATAATTGCTATGTGCCATCTTTCATTTGAATGAGTAAAATGGTCCTGAGATAGCAGTCGGACAATGAGGACTGCCGTCATCTTGTTACATGGAGCAAGTTTAAATGAAGGACCATATTTTGGGGGGAACTTTCACTCTCCATAAGAATTCTTCTATACGAAACTCAACCTAGTGTTATGTCATACATGACCATGTATTCGACTGCGCTTCGTGAATTTATTGTGCAACACTGTCACGGCACGGTCCTTCGCGTTTTTGTCACGCACCGCCTGGCGCACCTCCATCCAGCTGCTGCTGAAACCCACCCAACTCTCACCCCCATTTGTGTGTGCTGCAGCTGCTGGAGGGCAGAACTCCTCACTCGCACGGTCGCACCCCGCAGTTTTCGGCTGGAATTCTAGAACACCCAGCTTCAGTCCCTTCGCTAGTCGGGGAACTGATGAGAACGTGGGTAAGCGTCATCAAACACATGCATCATGACGTGCTTCCAGCGTTGTGGCACGCATCGATGGGGCTGCTGCTTGGCCACGTTTTTTGCGATTGCGATTAGCTTTCACTCTCTGTCATGTGCCAGTCGACCAATACTTGACCCAGCATCGCGGACGTCTTACCGGGAGGAGCTGAAGGATGCGATCGCCGCGCTGCTGCAAGTCAACGGCTTCTCCAAATACGCTCTCGAAACTCTCGCTCCCGCATGTGCGTTACACTGCTCGTGCAGATTCCCGTTGCTGCGTACTCGGCAGAGTCCTACTCACTCTTTATCCGACATGTTTTTTCCCTCTCTAACAGTTTCCCTCTCCGGCGTTTCCTCTCTAACCGTTTCCGTGTGCCCAGTGTCCTCAGGCCCGAATGGTCTCTTCTGCCAGAATCTCACCATTCTTGCTCCCAGCACTGCGGCGCTGATGCGAGTTAGCGACGATTCTTTTAACGTGTCCGACAGCATACGAATTTCCGAGTTCACGGTACTCGCTACCCGCATGACGTACAGTGAAATCATGGCTCACCCGGATGATCAGCCTCTTCCCACGCTTGAGGGCTCGTCATTATCGAAGGTGACTGCAACGAGAGCGGACGGAACGCCCGATTATGTGGTGTTTGTCCAACCGGACGGCGCGGTGGCTGCCGGGCGGAGTGCAACTATAGTTGCTGCTGACGTGTACTTGGGACCCACACTTGCCATACATGGTATAGACAGCGTGCTATTCCCTCCAGTAGGGTAGAGTTTATTTATGGGGGAAGGGGAATGATGATCAGCGAACATGTACAGGCATAGCAGAAATAGCTGGTCAAATAGAGACTCCAAGGAAAGATCGAGTTCTCTTATAATGGTATTGTATAAGAAAGAGGCTCCCCCCAGCTTTTCGAAGTCTCCATGAAATTTGTGGCGAGTCGTTCCGTTTACGAAGTTTGCACCTCATCAAGGCGGGATGTGCTGCATGGAGTATGGCATGGAGGCAGAACACTCAATATCGCGCCACGTTTTTCTGTTGGCGAGTTGTCGAATCGAAACTGGTGACGACGACCAACGACGAAGAGATACCGCACCCCGCTGGTGCATGGCCTGCCGCATCCCACCGTACCCCACCGGGCACCCGCCATGTCACCATGTCACATCATCACTTCATTCCGTTCAACTCCGCTGCGCTTCTGCTATCTCCGAACCGAATCTCGGCTTGCTGCACCCTCTCTCTGCCTCGTGAATCTGCCATCGCTCTATCGCTCGGGTGCGATTGCAGCCCGTCCGCCCATGTTCGCTCCATCAGCTACCGCCGCTTCTAGCGCCTCGCTGTTGGCCTCCTCGATACAAGCTCAGGGCTTAACGCGCTTGCCGTCGTCGCGGGCAGTTCGAGCAAGAACGCTGCGCCTAGTCGGCTCTCCGCTGCAGCGGCGACTGCACTCGAATCCGCGCATCCCGCCGGAGAGCAAGTCCGCCCACCGCCACCAGCTGCAGGCAAGTCGCCCCGCCGCGGAGAGCGAGCGAGCACGCGGCCATCAGGCGCAGGCAGATGGTCGTGTCTGAGAGATAGCGGCTCGCCTCATCTCGCTAGTGGTCGTCGCTACGAGATAGCGGTAGCGGTTCGCCTCTCGCGTCCGTCTTATCGCGTCCGTCTCATCGCGTCCGTCTGCTCATCGTATTCTGTGCGCAGATCCGCGTTCCACGTCCACTAAGCGCTCGCCCCCCCCCCCCCCTCCCCTCCCTCCCTCTCGTTCTCACGCTACATTGAGGCGCCTCAAAAATAGACTCCTCACGTCCACTAAGCGCTCCCCCCCCCCCCCCTCTCCTTCTCACGCTACATTGAATTTTCCCTTCTTTTTCTACTGCGGCCCCTTTATTACTCTCGGACCTGCTTTTATGATCAGGCTCGCTCCGAGGCGCCAGAACCCCTGATCCGCGCGCTCGGGCGCTTTTTTACCGCGTGCGGCGCAGCAGCGGCTGGGGCGGGCATGGAGAACGCGTGGGCGAGCGAAGGGCGGCCGGCGGTGGCGGTGGTAACCGGGGCGAATAAAGGAATCGGATTCTACATCGCACGGGGCTTGGCCGGTCAAGGTCTGGCTACAGTGCTAACTGCCCGCGACCCGGGGCTGGGGCAGGAAGCTGCGAAGAAGCTTCAGGGGGAGGGGCTTCAGGGGGTGGAGTTTCATCAGCTGGATATCAGCGACCAATCATCGATCGACAGCTTTGCATGGTACTGTATCGGGGCCTCTGCTTGTAGTGGTTTGCTTGGCTACCGTCACTCGCCCACGTTGATCGCTTCCATGTTGGTGACACTGGCGTGCGCTTGCTTTCATGTTGCATCGCTGCAAAATTGGCGGCCTGTAAAATGTGGCTGTTTTCCAATCTTTTTACCTCTGCTGCAGCTGGCTCAAGGACGCGCATGGAGGCTTGGACGTGCTGGTAAACAATGCCGGGATGGCTTATAAGGGGGACACGTTCGGAGCAGAGGAGGCGGCAAAGACCATTGCGACTAACTACAGTGGCACTCGAGCCGTGTGCGAAGCCCTGCTGCCTCTGCTCCGACCCTCCAAGGGTGGGGCGCTGGGCAACTCCTTGTGCTCTTCCTCCGCTCTTCTCTTTGATCTTGTGTTCTATTTTTCCTCTTCAACCCCCCTTGTCACCTCTTCCCCCCGCCCCCCCCCCCCCCGCTTTATCCCTGTCCCCGCCTCAACTCGTTTTCCTCGTGTCCGTCTTCTCTCCTACCAGCGGGAGCGCGCATTGTGAATGTGGGCTCGAGTGCAGGCAAGCTGCGAATTGTCTCTCCGGCGCTTAAGGTACTCCAGTCCACACTGCTGCATAGCCTCTCCTGCGCATATGCATGGCGCGATGTCTTCCTGATGGTTGCCCCCTCACCCCACCGACTTTCTCACTAGGGGCTTCAGGGGCCGTTTCTCCAGTCACCTTCTCCCCTTATCATATTCATCCCCCCCCCCCTCCCCCCAACACTCCACTTCCTCCCCCTTGGACCACCTCACTTCAGGCCCGCTTCACCAGCCCAACCCTCACAGTTACTGACCTGGACGGCCTGGCAGCGGAGTTTATAAAGGGGATAAAGGAGGGCACTTATAAGGGAGCGGGGTGGCCCGAGTCCATGTATGGCGTGTCGAAGCTCCTGGAGAACGCATACACGCGGGTGCTGGCGAGGCAGCTGGAGGGACGACCGGATGGTGAAAAGTGAGTCGGACTATATCAGATAGGATGGCTTGTGGGGGGAGGGAAGGGAGGGAGGGAGGGTCTGGGGGGCGGGGGAGGGACGGTGGGTAGATAACAACTGAGGTGTGTAGTGTATCAATTCATGCAGATTCATATCCATTGTTGTCACACAAACCGGGCTCTTATCGTATGCCGCCCCTGCGTCCCCTCCCCACTCCTCCCCTCAGGGTGTTGGTGAGTGCGTGCTGCCCAGGATGGTGTGCCACGGACATGTCGTCATGGCGCGGCCGCAAGACAGCAGAGGAGGGCGCAGACACTCCCATCTACCTCTCTCTTGTGCCGCCCGGGAAAGCCGCTACGGGCCAGTTTTATGCTGACCGGAAGACTGAGGACTTTTGAGGGGTTTGTAGTACCGTAGTACCGTAACTTGTAGTTTTGTAGGGCAGCTCTTGATGCCAGGAGAGACAGTGGGTGACACGAGTCTAGCCACTGTAGCTACGCACCTATAGGATGGATTGAAGCGTTTTGTAAGCCTCTGTTAGGATGCAGAGAGTTTTATTTCACTGCAACAGGTTGTTTGTGCAGCAACCATTGCTCATCCCGGTCCCTCAGCTTGGTTTTGAGCCAGGCTAATCCATCGACCTTCTGTCCCTCCCCGCCTTTGGGTAGGGTGTCAGGTTGGTTAGGAAAAAGGCACTGGTCTATCAGTGGTACCGGTACATGTACTTGTAAGTTGTTGCATTGCAGCTGGGAAGGGGCAGGACCAACAGCGCTAATCATGGCACGGCAGGCACCCATCACGAAATATCCACTTTCGGGGTATACCCCCCCGAAAACAGCCAATGCGTCACAAAAGAGAGGAAAACTGAGCAGGATTGTAAAAAGGGGCTGATTTGATGATACAGTCCTGGTACGAAAAGACCCAAGATGAAATGGCCTTGTTACGCTGACATGGTATTGGAGGGCCTGCCAGCCATCCATGTTTGAGAAAATGCAACAAAGCAGCCAGCTACCCCCAACTGAGAACAATAAAGGATGCTCTAACTGTATTACCAGAACAGTCCACATTCTCCACAGGATTAGAGCAAAGCGTGTGCTGAGGAGCTAAGGCCTGGTGCAATGCAAGGCTCTAGCACACACTACGCCTCCACAATCATACCGCCAAATGCATGAATTGAAGGGACCAAGGCACCTTATCCCTCAATGTACAATGCTTGGATGTCCTCTCAGCAGGCACCAAGCAGCAGCAGATGATGAGGCAGGGAGGGACCCCAAGAGGGTGTAAGAAATGGTCCGGTTGTGGGATTGTGGTGGGTAAGTCACCCAGACTGGCCCTTTTTAACACAATTCCGTGGATTTGTTGGATCCACCTGGTACCCTTTGTTACACAAACACGTGATCACCGCATTCGGTCCGACAGTCGCTGGGTCGTATATGCAAACACCTGCGCCTCCGCACTGCCCCTCTTTGCTCCCTGTCCCGCAGAACTTCGCGCAAGTCTCATCCTTCCGCTGGTCCACCGCTTCGCACCCTGGCGAAGAAACCAGACAGTTACCCGAAACTGAAATCTGCTCCGTGTAATCCTTGCTCGGGCAGACCCAAGTGGGTTTGGGAAAACTTTCCGAACCGGGCATCTGCATGACCATGTCGGCTCTCCCTTCGAAGTAGTTCGCGCTCAAATCGATGAGCACCTCGAAGCGGTAACACGAAACGCTGTCCACCTGGGGATCTTCGCACTCCTTCCCGAGCCCTGTGAACCGCGGCAACGGCCCTGTTAACGCGTTGTACGACAGCGTCAGTGCCCGCAGCGACTGCCCGAACGAAGAAAATGACGCCGGCACGCGACCAATGAACCAGTTGTGGCTCAGGTCGAGGTTGACGATAGCGGGCAGCTTGCCAAGAAAAGCAGGAATTTCCCCCGAGAGCCGGTTGTGGCTAAGCGTGAGAACCTCGAGAGCAGGTTTGTCCGCCAGGCTTGGAGGCACTGATCCCGTGAACCAATTGGTAGAGAGATCGACGATCGAAATTTCTGAAGCACTGCCCAGGCTTGACGGAATTGGCCCGGTGAATTTGTTTCCGCAGAGGGTGAGCGAGTGTAGTTGCGTGGCGTTCTCGAAAACGTTGTCCCGTAATTCCCCGACGAAGTTATTATCGTCGAGTCGCAGAAACATCAGAGGGGAGTTTGCCTGCGTAAAAACTTCGTTCCAGGGGAACCCCCCCTCCAAGCTGTTCCCGTTAAGAAGAATCTCGCTCAGCAGGGGAAGACTGGCGAACACTCCCGCTGGTATCACTCCGCTTAGATTATTCCCACCGAGATCGAGAGCCGTGAGTGACGTCAGCTGCGACAGCTCCAACGGAAACGGCCCGCTCACACCGCTCTCTGGCAGCTCCAGCGACACCACATCCCCGTTAAGGTCAATACCAACGCCGCGCCATAAGTCGCCAGGTCCCAGCCCTCCGCTTCCCAGGCCCATGTTGCCAAACCCCATCCCCAACTCGCCTACACCCATGCCGTTCGCGGTCGCGGCTGCGGGCTGCGTTGGACTAGGCTGGGATGGGCTAGGCTTGGACGGACTAGCTTCGGATGGACTTGCCTCGGATGGACTAGCCTCGGATGGACTAGCTTCGGACGGGCTAGCTTCGGACGGGCTAGCTTCGGATGGGCTAGCCTGCGACGACGGCGCTGGAGCACCTTCTGAACTACCGTCGCCCGGCGCGCCTGGAGTGTCGCTGTTGCTGTCGACCCATGTGTCCGCGCCGAAAAAATCGCCACCCCACGCCGCCTTTATCGCGAGCAGCGCCTGCTGCGCCGCCGCATTCGGGAGGTCGCTGGGCTCGGCCGCGTTCGATGGAACAACGTTCTGCCCTTTCTGGGTGTCGAGGTAATCGAATAGGTCCGTGTAGTCGGAGTTTTTGCTGGCGGTTAGGAGTTTCCGACTCTGAGAGGCTTCGACATAGCGAGGAGGGAGGAGAAGCGCGATGAGAACGCACGAGAGAACAACGTTGAAAGGTTTCATAGTGAAGCTATTCGCGCTGTCCTGTTGACAATGTTCGCTATACCTTCCTATCCTTCAAACCCACAATGGCGAGCGGGAACGAGCCGGATGGTGTTCAAGCCTTCATATTCTACTCTACTACTAGAGTAACGCTTCTAGCTCATCAGCGGCAGCAACAATAGTTGAGAAACAACAGTCTCTTCGACCTAACTTCAGCCTGAATCTATACCGTCGTATGTTGAAGGGGAAGAGGAGGGGGGGGGATTGCTCCAGCTGCTTTTGCTGCTTTTGCTGCTGTTGCTGCTGTTGTGTGCAGTTTTCAGGCGGTTTGGCGAAACATTTCACTGCTGTTGTTGTTTGCTCGTAGGTCGGTTGTGGGTGGAAAGGCAGTGCACGAGGCTTCCTGCGACTTTCAACGAGGATCGCGTGAAGCCTCGTTCGCCAGCTACAGTATTTCGCTTGGCACATCGCACATGGGAGCTAGGGGCTGCGACGGCTGTCGCTATTTGTCGGCTTGGAAAACCGAAACCACCTGCGCCCGACCAACGCTGCACAGGTGGATTCCCAGGCCGCGATTCAGATTCGAGAGGGTCTGTCAGCTCGGCCATCCGTTATGACCCCGTTACGATAGTAGGGGCATGTAACATTTTGTTAACACGAATCGAACATTAAAAATTGCGACGGTAACAGTTTCCCCAAATCTTGTCAGGACTTCGCGATTTGCTGAGGCGTTACAGTACACGGAAAATGTTTCACCAGTGACTACAACATTTCCTGCAATTTGGCTCTCACCTGCCGACGCTGGGCACATGTTTGATTTGCAATTTTCTAATTGATCGCCCTTTGCGAAATTTCACAAATTCCGCTGTGCGAACCTAGGTTCGACAAAAAGGCATGATCGAAAAACAAACACGCCCTAAAATTCGTCAAACGTAAGGCTTTTAACGTTTATATACTTTGTAACATCATAAAGTAGATGCACGGATAATTCTGTTTCATACTCTTCTTATGCTAATAATAGTTTATTTTGGGTAAAAGTACGTCATTTACTCCAACGAGATGATTGATGACCATTATTAGGGGGCATGAACCATGCATATCTTATCAAACATATCCTTGTGTGTTGTTCTAGACTACACAGGGTTGTGTCTTAGAGAGTACTGTTAAATTATATGTTATATCATTGTAGGCTTGGTAGGTATTACTGAAACCTACTGTAGAGGGTACAATACCCCTCCTTGTATCCCTCTCTCTTCTATTCTCGTCTCTCTTTTCTTCTCGTAACTTCTCTCCTAGCTAAACCCTCGTGCCATTCCATGGCTTCCTAGCTACCTAGTCTCGTGACATGGTAACAAAGCAGGTTGCCCGTCCCAGGCCTACTCCTCACGCTTCCGCCGTGCACTTCTACCGTCCCTTCCGTGCCTCCGCCGTACCTCGCCGAGCTGCCAAGGCGACCTCGATGCACAGCGGTGGCGGCCATGTCGAGGTGCCGTGGCGGCCTCGCCGCATGGCTGCCTCGTTGAGCAGCCGTGCCGGCCTCGCCGCACTGATGTGGTAGTGGCGGCTTCGCCGTGCCGTCGTTCCGCCGTCCCGCCGTGCCCCCGTATCCCCATCCTGCCGTGCCGCCGTGCCACGGTACCGCTGCACCGCCATGCTGCCGTATCGCCAGCGCACGGACAGCTGCGGCCAGCACCCTGACGTTTCAGGCGCCGCCAGCTCGCCCACATGCCAGCCAGCGTCGCTTTACCACGGGCGCCTTGCTGGGCTTCACCCCCCTTCTCCCCTGCGTCTCCTCTTCCTTCTGCCGCAGCTGTTGTCTTCTACCCGGTCGTCGCCGGGTCGTGCCACACCGCCGAGAGCCCTCAGCCGTGGCAGTCGCCGCCTGCCGTCATCAATGCAGCCGCCTTGAGCATGAGCTCCGCCACTGTAGTCGTTCAGGCCACCCAGACGCCGCCAACTGCCTCTCGCCAGGGGTGACATCGCTTCGCACGAGGGGTGGATACCCGGCTGATCACGAGCATGAGGGTGTACGGGGTTAGGGGGTGTGTGTATGTTGGGTGGGCTTGTGACCACCAAGCCTAGGGGGTGTGTTAAATTATATATGTTATATAATTGTAGGCTTGGTAGGTGTAACTGGAACCTACTATAGAGGGTACAACACCCCTCCTTGTATCCCTCTCTTCTATTCTCGTCTCTCTTTTCTTCTCGTAACTTCTCTCCTAGCTAAACCCTCGTGCCATTCCATGGCTTCCTAGCTACCTAGTCTCGTAACAAGTACAACCCACTAGGTTATATTCCTTTGTATGACATGGTTCTAGTCATTCGTTAACTTTGATATGGTATCATGAGTAGGTTAGGCCCCCCTCGCCCACCAGCGCTTCCGCCATAGGTCCTAGCCACCCCGTCACCCTCCCGTCCGTGCTGGCCCATCCCCTAGTGGCCCCCGTCACCTAGCGCCTAGCTGGCCCCGTCGCCTAGCCGCCCCAGTCGCCTAGTCGGCCCCGTCGCCCAGCCGGCCCTAGTGCCTAGTCGGCCCCGTCGCCCTGCCGGCCCCGTCGCCTAGCCGGCCTTGTTGCCTAGTCGGCCCCGTCGCCCAGCCGGCCTCGTCGCCTAGCCGACCCCGTCGCCTAGCCGGCCCCGTCGCCTAGCCGGCCCCGTCGCCTAGTCGGACCCGTCGCCTAGTCGGCCCCGTTGCCAAGCCCGCCCCCCCACTCAGCCGGCCCCGTCGCCTAGCCGGCCTCGTCACCTAGCCTCTTAGCCGGCCCCGTCGCCTCGCCGCCCGCCGCCCCGTCTCTTAGCCGCCACGCGGCCCCGTCTTCCAGCTGCCACGCGGCCTTGTTGACCAGCCGCCCCGCGGCCCCGCCGCCCAGCTTCCTCACAGCCCCGTCCCTCAGCTGCCCGTAAGCCTCCCACCTCGCTTCATCGGCCCTTCCCACCGCACTGCACCGCACTGCACTGCCCTGCACCGCACTGCACGGCCCTGTACCGCACCCTACCGTACTGCACCTCACTCTATTGCAGTCTACCGCACCGCACACCACTGCTTCCCGCCGCACTCTTTCGCCCAGTACAGCCCACTGCTGCCTTTCTGCTGCTGCAGCGACCATGATGGCGGACTCGGTGCTGCGCTTTGACGCGGAGGGTCAGCCAGTTGAGTTCGACACGTGGCTCGTCGACCTCCGCCGTCACCTCACTGGTCAGCGGCAGGACAGCCACTCCCTGGCCGTCCACATCGACGGTACGCTCCCCTGCCCTGACCTCCTTGCTGCTCTACCCGCTGACCCCACGTCTGCTGACCGTGAGTCCGCTGCCGCTATTGCCCTTGCCCGTGCTGTCTGGTTGTTGCGTGACACTGTCGCACAACTCGCGATTAGTCATGCCCTCCCCCTGTCTGAGCGCCCCCGCTTTAGGTCGGTCCGGACTGCGCAGGAGTTCTTAGAGGCTATTGTCGCGCGCTATTCCACCCCACCCTTTGCCTGCACCAGTCGCCTGATCCTGCCCATGCTCTTTCCTATTCTCGCGTCTTCTCCACTGTCGCTGAGCTGGCCGCCCACCTGCACACGCTAGACGCGACCTGGCGCGCTGCCTGTACTGAGGCCTAGCTTTGTGTGTTTCAGCCCCCCATTTGATCTACCTTCTATCTGCTTGCCACCCGCCTGCCTTACTACCGCCCGCGATCTCTTTCTTAGTCTCCACCCCGCTGACCTCACCCTCACTAACTTTGTCGACACCCTGTCTACCATAGAGACTCGTCAGCGCTCTATCGCCCAATCTAGCGGTAATAAGCCGATCACTATCTTTCAGGGCTGTGCCCCCACTCAGTGTGCTTACTCTCACGGTACTGCTCCTATCATTGAGACAGCCCCTGATGCGGAGACAGTCGCCGCGGCTGCCGCAGCGGAGTTTCGTCCGGGTAAGGGTCGCCGCCCAAAGGCTGGGCACGGCGGAGGTAGCGGAGGAGGGGATGGAGGCGGTGGTGGAGGTAGTTCGCCTGCTGGTAGTACTGACAAGGGGGCTGGGGTTGGTGCCTCGGAGCAGCAGCCCGAGCAGTAGCAGCAGCAGGCGCCACAGCTGGACCAGCAGCGGCAGCAGCACCAGCAGCTGCAGCAGCAGCAGCAGCAGAGGCGGTTCGGTCGTCTCCCACCCGGGTAACCTGGCGCCGGTGGTGGAGGTGGTCGCAGTGGTCGTGTGCACAGCGTGACGTCGGGTAGTGGTCAGAGTGACGGACGCTGCCAGTACCAGCTCCATACTGGTCCTCGTCGCAGCCTCGTGTGCAGTAGGATTGGCCATTCCCCTACTCGTTGTTTTAGTCGCCTAGACGACCTGTTTTGTCACCGCTTTGTCCCGGTGCGAGACCTCCCCGACTAGCACAGTCTGCTCCGTCGTGGTGTTAGGATCTTTGATATGGACATGGACAAGATTTGCTCTGTTTTGTATGTGCTGTATGTCGATGACTCTAGTGTGACTGGTTCCTATTACCCCTTGTTGCTTAGTGTAGGTGTGACTAGTTCAGGCTCCCCTGCTGGGTCAGGTGTAGGAACCCCTGCTTTGTTTAGCCTTGGCTCCACCCTCGCTCCTCCGACCTCTGCTGCCACTGCTGCGCTCTCCTTCATCCTGGACTCCGGTGCTTCCCAGTGTTTCTTTCGGGACTCCACTACGCTTACACCGCTTGCTGCTCCCGCCGCAGTTGCCCTTGCAGACCCTTCCTCAGGTCCTGTAGTCGCCCGAAGCTCCACCACCCTTCCCTGTCCGGCGGTTCCTTCGAACTCCCTTGCAAACCTTCACATCCCCTCATTCTCTAGAAACCTATTTGGTGTCTGCTGCCTCCAGGACCTTGGCATCACCACTACGTTCCCTGGTCACGAGCGGGACGCTGTCTGTACCGAGGCCGCCACTGGTGCTCCACTCACCACGTTCCCCCGGTGCTCCCCTCACCACGTTCCCCCGGGACCCGGTGTCTAGCCTGTTCATGCTGGACACAACGTCCCCGCTGGTTGGGACGTCTCCCCAGATATCTGCGACTACCCAGGTTGCTGCCGCTTGCTTGTATCGGTCGCTTACTCCTCCCATGCTTCTGTGGCACCACTGTCTAGGTCACCCTGCCCTCACACGTCTCCCATACATGTCTCAGCACGGTCTTGTCCTAGGTCTCCCTAAATCATTCCCCGCGCTACCCTCCTCACCAGTGCCGCCATGCAAGCCCTACGTCGAGGACCGGCTCTGCCGTGCCCCTCACTCCTCCTCGTTCCCCCCCACCGTCGCACCGCTGCAGACCCTGCACATGGACGTTCGCCCCCCCC